ATATATTCTTTTTTCTTTACTATTTTTCTCTTTTTCTCTTCACTTTTTATTTTTTATATTTTTTCTTAATTTGTATTAGTTTTTTTTTCACTTTGTATCTTTAAACTTTAATAAAAATTATTATAAAACGGGGAAGATTTTTGTATGTACAGTATGTACCAGCTGATGTACAGTATGTACCAGCTGATAGATATTTCTGTTCCATTTTTGCCCTAACCTTATCTCTTACTAGATAATAATAAGGCCTAATTTTGATTTAATGCCTGTTGCTGTCTCCTAATTCTAGAAAAGTAACAAGCATGGCTAATTGGCTCCTGTATGGCCATTCTTGAGGTGAATGAATGTTTTTGTTTCCTAGAATGGTGATTAAAAATGGATTTACCCTAGGAATACAGAAACCACCTAGACTTTCCGTGGCCTAGATTGCTTTTCCCCATTGTGTAGAATGATATAATTATTTTCTGTACTGTTTTTCTAGAGTCACTTATTCTGTGACCTTACAGAGAAGATAAAATCCTAGCTATAACTAAAGCTTCTTTTCTGATAGCCTGATTAAGGGGTGAATATTGACTGTGGGGCTCTGAGAGTCCTTCTTTCTGATCACTTCTGGTTTCTTGTCATATTACCCTGTGCAATTCTTTGACCTTCAGAAAATTCCACTGGAATATGTGTGTGTGTCTGTATATATACAGCGTGTGTGTGTGTGTGTGTGTGTGTGTGTGTGAATGAATGAATGAATGAATGAATGAATGAATGAATGAATGAATGAATGAATGAAGATAAATTATTTTTTATTTGTTTACACTGCTGGGTGGAGCTCCTATCTGAAGGACCCGGGTTGCTAAAGGGTTGTGTCAAGATATTTTGTGTTCCCATATATACTGCATATCCTTTAAACAGCAGCTACAGTATATTCTTCAGGTAGGTCTATCTAGATGATAGAGAATGAGGCACATTTGGTTGTCAAGCATAGAAAGGAAAATTCTTTGTTTACATCATTCATCCACTGAGTTATTTATTTATATATAAAAATGGTAGCAATATTAAGTAGTAGAACACAGTTCAGAAAAGCAAGAGAATAAAACCCAATCAGACCTTCTGTAATATCACTCAATTTCCATGTTTGAGGTACATCATTATCAATATGCCCCTAGGTGCCAAGGTGAACAGCAACCCCAAATTGTTCTGCAGCCCGCCCTCCCCCTCTCCAACT